CAGTGTGAGTTCTCTCACACTGTTTTTGGTTTTTTTTAGTGTTTTGTTTTGTTTTTTTTATGTTAGAATCTCACTCTGTCGCCCAGACTAGAGTGCAGTGGCACGCTCCCGGCCACCACAGCCTCGACCTGCTGGGCTCCGGCAATCATTCTGCCTCAGCCTTTCAAGTAGCTGAAACTACAGGCGCCTGTTACGATGCCCGGCTAATTTTTTTGATTTACTGTAGAGATGAGGTCTCGCCAAGTTACCCAGGTAGGTCTTGAACCCGCGGGCTCAGGCAATCCACTCACCTCAGCCTCCCAAAGCGCAAGATTACAGGCTGAGCCACCAAGTCTGGCTTAGCTCACGGGTTTGAGACCAGCCCAGGCAACTTCGTGAGACCTCATCTCTACAATAAAATTTTTTAAAAGCCAGGCATGGTAGCACGTGCCTGTATTTCCGGCTACTTGGAAGGCTGAGGCAGAAGGATTGCTGGAGCCCAACAGGTCAATGCTGGGGTGGCGGTGAGCATGCCACTGCACTCCAGCCTGGGCGACAGAGTGAGACTCAAAAAAAAAAAAGAGAGTATACAGTGTTTGCTGACGGGTAGAAAGACGGTGGTCAAAAATGCCTCCAGGTGTTTGCCCTGGGCGCTGTAAGAGCAGAGCTGTCTTCCAGATGAGCAGGTTGATGGGTTCTCTCTAGAGTTCTTCCGGATGGTGCAATGAACACTTTGAGGATACAGAAGCCACATCCTCGACAGAACATCTTGTGCAACCTAAGCCGCAAAGTTCTCCCAGGGCCAGACCCTTAGACCCTGCCGTAGAAGCAGCCATGGACCTGGACAACGCTTCCAGCCCCACGTGGAATGAGAGAACTCACACTGCCAGGCTGGGGGTGGCACGCAGGCCCTCTGCTTCCCCTTCCCATGCCCCACCATGTGACAGCAAGGAGCTCTCGTTACCGAAGTTAACTTGGCTGCTCGGTCTCACCACTGAGCGCAGAGCTCATGGCAGAAGACACGAGAGGCAGATGGTGGGGAACTCTCCAGGATCAGCCTTAAAGGTCACCGTCTGTCACTGCCTGCCCGCTCCATTCTCTTCCGCATCGACGGAGTCCCTCACGCTGACTTAAGGCCCAGCTACAAGCTGTGCGATGACACTTCCTGTGGGCTGACTGTGCGCCAGGCACCATGCGAGGCCTTGCTTGGACCCTGACTGGTAATCCCTTCACTGGCCTATGAGGCTGGCACCATTATCATCCCCATTTTACAAAGGAGGAAACTGAGGCAGAGAAAGGCTAAGCAGTTTGCCAAGATGATCAGGCCCCAGGCTGTCCGGCTCCAGAGTCCAAACTCTTCACCACCACACTGTCTGGCTGTCCCTTCTCCAAGCCTCAGCAAAATGTCTCCACTGCAAAATGAATTAGGGACACAAAGAAATCATTTCTGGATCCTTCTGAACTCTTATAGGTCCAGAATGTGAAAACTGCTTCCTTTTGGGGGCCTCCAGTCTATTCCTTCTCCCCCAACAATGGTTGTTCTCCAGAAAAGATCTTATTACCTCATTCACACCATGGTATAAATGATTGATATATAAGAAGAGGTGAGGTCATTCTGGTAGAGCAGGGATTCAAACACACTGGCTCCAGAGCCTAGGATAGCTCAACACAGCATTACACAGGGTCCCCTCTGACAGGTATTCTTGACAGGCATCAATACTCCCTATACTGGGAGAATGGGACAAAATGTGATGAGGGGTGGGGGTGGAAGCAGGAAGCCAGAAATACACACAGTCAGACCTATGAATTCCCAGAGTCAGGGTTTCTAGTCCCCAAAGAAGACCTGGGTTCAAGTCCCACTTCAACTCAGCAGGCTTGTATAAGCTGTCTCGGAGGAGTCTCTGGGGACCTGGTTTCCAGCAGGCCCTGCCACTCAGTCAGGGCTCAGTCTCCACCCCTGTGGGACAGGGTGCTGGCCTATTCCAGCTACAACAGACACACATGAGTTTTACTCACACCCTGGCTCTAATATACCCCATTAGCATTCTCCAGGCAGGAAATCACCCTGGGGGGCCCCCAAACCCACAGCTCCTCTGGGAGTTGGGCACCGGAAACCCACTTCTTGTAGGAGAGAAAGCAGTCATCACAGCCTCTGGTGCCAACTTCCTAGCAGGCTTGATTCACCTCATCGTGGGGAGCAGGGCTGGAGCCAAGGTGGTGCCCTTTGAAATAGACACCTGACAGTCAGTTCCCTCCTGCAAGGCGCCCTCCCCTCAGCCTCTCCTCCTGAGGCTCCAGCTCCTGACCTCCCTCCACAAAGTTCAATCTTTTTGCCTCTGTAAATGGCTTTTAAGTTTCTCGCCCAGCCTCTCATTTCTATCAGTTTAATTATTGAGGAGGCCTCTTGTCGCCAGCCTGGAACATTAATGCCATTAAAAGGGACCCAGAGAAGGCAGACCACAGCGGCTGGCTCCCTCTGGCTCCCCCGCCCCAGCCTCCTTTTCCTTCCCAGCTCCCTGCATCCCTCCCTTCCTTCTCCACTCCCTGGGTGTCTACTTCCCAGTCTTGTCTTTGTGTAGCCTCTGGGGGCTTCTGACCCTGCCCCAACCCACTCCATCCTGTGATCTGAGGAGGCACAGACCAAGCTGAGGTGGCGCCATGTTTGGATGTGACCAGATGGACAGAGGATGAGGAACCATGAGCTCCTAGGATGGCAAGGCACTGTGGCTCTCCCTGTCCTGGGAGAGGCTGGCATGGAAGTTGCAGCCCACTTCCCTGCCTGTGTTCCCAAGAAAATGCTTTAAGACCCAATGCCGAGAGTGATCATTCTCTGAGCTTTCATGGTGTGCCAAGGGACAGGCATCTCTTAGCTCCTTTGAGTCTCTCTACCTCCCTGTAAAGTAGGCACCCACTCCCCCCCGGAAAATAGGGACAGGGACCCTCACAGATGGCATAGCTCCAGGAGCTCTTTTATCATCTTTCTAAAAGACACAGAGTCACACAGAGAGTTTAAGGACAAGCTCATGATCAAGGAAAGGAAGCAGGCAGCATGGCCTTCCCAGAGGCTGAGGGTCACTGTCAGGTTAACAAGGAATCCAGGGCCTGTGCCCTCTGCTGATGGCCCAAGCTGCCTCAACTCCCAGGCCCAGGCCGGGTAGCTAAAGTGATGACTCAGCTGGCCCAAGCCATCACTCTGCCCAGGCCTGGGGCAGCCCAGTCAGCCAGTCTTCCTTCTCCTCTGCACTTCTCACTGCAAAAGTGAGCAGCGAGGAGGACTAGACCAGTAGGCTGCCCAATCCCACACCATCCTGCCAAGGAGCCCTGAAAGATGCCCAGGAGCAGCACAGACCTCCGGAATTGTTCAGGTTGGCTATTGCAAGGAAAAATTTTCTTCGAGTGTCCTGCTTCATCTAAAAACTACGTACAAATCTTGCTTTCTTCATAGTGCACCCATTTGTATTAAAATTAAAATTACGTTTTCATCCAGATCATCAAGTAAAACCAACACTGCAGGATGAGGCCCACACTGGAGGCCCACACAGCATACCAGGGGCACTCGCGATGGCTGCGTGGGAGTGTGCCAGCACAGGTGGGGGCGTGCACTCCTCAGGCAGTGGCTAAGTCCTGCCCCACCCAGACACCTGACAGCACAGCTTCAGCCTCCTCCTTTCCCCTCCCCCACCAGTTTCCTCACCACTGCTCCCAACACTGGGACCTTCCATCCCTACTTCTACCCTGCCCCAGAGACACCCCCAAGCCCGAATGCATCATGGGAGATGGCCTAATGGCCTCCAGGAAGGGTCCGGGGGAGAGGGACCCAGCCTCAGCTCTTCCACCCTGCATGGCACCAAACGGCCTCCCTCAGTATGCCCCTTACTCTACACAGACTGAGGAAAGAAAGGGTCAACTCCAGCCACCCAGAACTTGACATCCCGGTGAGTGAGGGACCAAGTGGCTTCCTCTGTGTCCCTTCCTCTTCCCTCTCTCCATTCTCTCTCCCCCTACACACAAACATGCACACACACACACACACACACACAGAGCAAACAAGGCAGGCTCCAAGAGAGAAGCGGGCACATAATTATTGGTAAAATGCTTGTAATGTTTTTCTCCCAACCCGGTAGCTTTCAGTTGTTTTAGCAGCTTAGCGAAGCACTTGGCTCCAATTGAATTGCAAATCAGCAGCTCTTGCCCCAGGAAGAGAGGAAGGGAGGCGGCAAGGAGGGGGCAGGGAGGGATTCCAGAAGGAAAGGGAGAAAGGTGTGCAAGGAAGAAGGGCAGAAGGGAGGAAGGAGAGGAGGGAAGCTTGGTGCAGGGCCCAAGGCACCAGAGGCAGGGCCCGCCTATTCCCTCCAGGCCTCAGTTTTCCCGTCCTCAGCTGCATTCTCCACAGGCTCAGTAGCCCCACACTCCATGCAAAAAAAAAAAAAAAAAATGAGGACACGTTCTCTAACGATAACCTTGGGCAGGGTAGCAGGGCCTTGAGGGGCTTCCTCAACTACCTGAAAGAAAAGCATATCTTTCTTGGGAATTGCAATTATTTGAAAACAATGTCAAAACAAAAGTCTTGCTTTTTCTCCCCGATGATCTCCAGCCTGCCTTGTTTCTTTTCCTCTGTCTGTCTGCCCTCCTGCCTGTCCACCTGTCTGTCTTTGTATCTGTCTGCCTGCCTGTCTCTCCCTCCCTCCTGGCTCAAATTCCCTGGAGAGCAGTGGAATCGATCACAGAGCTCCCGGTGGCAGGTGCTGCTTCAGCACCACGGCCAGCGCCACTGAGCTGGGTGCCTTCCTGCTGCCTCATTCAGCTGCCCCTATGCTGGGACCATGGGACAACACACTGAAAGCAGGAAGGACTACCCCAAAGCTCGGACACTGCTGGAGGGGAAAATAAACCTCTCCCTTGAAGTCAGGAACGAGAGGAGTCAGAGGAGAAAAGGACGGCCCAGCCAGGCCTGACGCCCAGGGGTGTGCAGGACTGGCTGTTGGGGGAAGAACCCCTGGGGCCAAGCAGCCCAGACTGACCTTGAAGAGGCGAAGGATGTTGGCCACCATGATGGAGACCGAGCTCCCAGAAGCACCGATGACACCCACCACGCGCTCAGGCTTGGTGATGATGGGTGGGCCGCCACTGCCGCAGCGGACCTCTGTGCCGTCCTTCTCGATGAGCGCCTGCACAAAGGTCAGTGACTGCTCGAGGGCATGGGTGTCCCTGGAGCAGGTGTCCAGAATGCGGGCGCCCAGCGTGATGTTGGGCAGCAGGTCCGGGTCATTATTGATGCGGTCTAGGGCGAAGAGCATGGCCTCCAGCCGGTGGATGCCCTTCTCCTTCTTCAGTTCTCCACAGGCCTTGCCCTCTGAGCCACGGCCATGCACCGGGAACAGGCCGCCCAGTGTGATGTCCCCATCAATGCGGATGGAATTCATGTGGGGGTGGCCCTTGGGCTTCCCCAGGGAGGAAGGCACCCAGGGGCCGTAAAGGCTGAGGAGCAGGCAAAGGGGCAGCCGGGCCCAGCGCCAGCCTACGCCTCTCTTCCCAGGCATCTCGGAAATCCCTAGAGACCCATGAATGGCAGGCCCCGCTCCTAGCCCCGGCAGACCCCTGGCCCCACGGCCCGGGTGAGCATGGGCAAGGCAGCTTCAGCAGCAGGGCAGCCGAGGGCGGCCGACGGCATGGACCATGCCACTGCTCTCTCACACCTCCTCCTCGGTGCCCAGGCGACGTGCAGTCGCCCGCACGGCCCAGGCCCACAGACGGCAGGCAGTGGCTGGGGCTGCAGGAGAGCTCTGATCCTCGTGCCGTCCTGCAGGCCTGCTCTTGGTGGATGACCGTGGAGAGGGAGGAGTGCTCCTAGTTTGGCGTATCTTGGCATCAAGGAGAAAACAGCTCCAATCCTCTCCTCTTACCAAACCTAGAAGGGAGAGAGAGAGAGAGAGAGAGAGAGAGAGAATATCAAGCAGAGGCCCAAAGAGGACATTAGCTATTCTGATCTCCCATCAGGAACCTGGGAGAAAGAGATGCTGAGGTTATCGCCAAAGACCCCATAAATCTCCTGAACTTGGTTTTCTCCTGGCCGTTCCCCAACCCTAGTTTAAATGGGAGAGCTTAAGGCGGAAATGAGGTCATGTTTGAAGCTTCTTAGGGCCTGTGCCCACTGCCAACAGGAGCCGGGCAACAGAGTGCACACTCCCCAAGCACAGCCTCGAACCCACTGGGAGGAAGAGGGACCTTCCTCAACACACCCACATGAAGGAGTAGCAAAAAGCCAGTCCCACCAGGCCCAGTCCCATTATACAGATGAAGACACAGGCCCAGAGCAGGAGAGCATTGTGCCTGAGTCACACAGGGCATACACAGCAGAATGCCTACTAGACCCCAGCTGGCTTGCCAGCCCTCAGCTCTGGAACCAGAGGCAACCTGGCTCTTTGGGAATCCAGGAAGGCAAGCAAGGCCCACTCAAGAAGAAAGCATCCCGAGAGACTGTGGCAACTTGTAGGCGCCCAGGCTAGGAGCTGTCCACTCTGAAGTCCGAGGGAAGCTGGGGCTGTGGGGTTCTGGATTTTTCTCAACTCAGGGAGCACCCAGCACTCTCGCATCTGCCCAGCTGCACAACCGCCCCAGGCAGACAGGGTAGAGCCAGCACCCCGAATGAGAAGCAGTCTCTTCTTGGCTGCGTGTACCCCCCCCTCCACTTCTGACTTTATCTCTCAATTTTTGGATTGCTCTCCTCCCCCCACTTCCTCCCTCTGAGAGCAGGGCTCGGGTTACGGCCTGAGCTACTGCACATTATTAAGATCATCATCATTATTATTGTTGTTGTGATTAAATATTTATCAGCAAGGGTAGAGAAGAGAACACCAGCTCTTCCTCATTCTCACTGCTAATTTGGGCTAATTTCCCCTGGGGGTTCCTTCCCTCACCCCAGCCTCCCTGCTCAAAGCCAGCAACCTCCCTCCCCACCACTTAGGAGACCACTGGGAGAAGGGCTGGAAGCTGAGTGAGGGCTTGGCTGGGAGCTGATCTCAAGGCCTCCTTCCCCAGAGGTTTGTCAAATAAAGACCAGCAGGCCACTTGTCCATTCTGTGCCTCAGTTTCCCCAAACAGTTGGAAGAGGAGCTTTATTTGAATGGGGAGGTTTCCCCCAGAGATGTGGCACCCCCAGCAAGGCCAAGCAGGGGTCTCAGAGCCATGCCTCCCCCAACTGTCATTCCCTCTGCAGAGGCCCTGATTGTTCCAGTTTTAGGCCAAGGAGGGGGAAAGGGAGGGGCAGCTCCCCAGAGTCCTGTCTCCGGCTCCCGGGCTTCTCGGCCTTCTGGAACATCATTTCCCATCCCATCTCTTCATCAAAATGCTCCCTTCACATTAGCTCCTCAGAAACAAGAATATGGCTACTAACTGTCCGTGACCCCATTCTGCAGGTGAACCGGCAGCCCAGAGGCATCACATAATTCTCCCAAAGTCTCACAGCAAGTAGGACACATCCAGAGCGAGAAGCTGGCACCAGGCACACCGAGGTCACACCGAGGAAGCCCACAGAAAGTTCCATGATACCACCCTCTTCCCCACAGTTAGAATCCAGGAACCTGGGTGGGGGGCAGGGTCTGTGCTTTGGGGAAGCCCTAAGAGCTGTGAGAACACAAGGGAGGGGGATACACCTATACAATCTGTCACCATCGTGTACACCTTCATGTGAAGGAGTCCATCAAATCTCTGTCCCCAGTGTCTGAGGAGTAAGAGCACGTGGGCATAAGCTGCTGATGCCGGTACCAGGCAACTCAGGAGAGAGAAACTGGAGAAGCCACAGACAGACCTTGCAGTCCTGACACTGCCTTGCTGGAGGCGCCCATCCCCTCCAGTCCTCAGCAAAATCTGCTAAATGGGCCAGGTGGAGTAAAATCCAGGCTGGGCTTCACTGCCCCTGCAGGCCTCTTTTCGGGTGTCACAATGATGGGGGAGAGTCACCTTGTGGCCTATGTGCAGACAGAGTCAGATGCCAACTGCCATGGGGAGGGGGGAGCCTGCAGGTGAAACAAATGCCAGAGGTACCCCGTGGAGAAGCAGCAGCAGATGACAGCCCTGCTCTGTGCCAGGCACCGTTCTAAGAGCTTTGCTCACACATCTCATGTAATCCTCAGATCCCCATGAGCTGTGGTATTTTTATCCCCATCTCACAGACAAGGAAGCCGAGCCCCAGTGCGCTTAAGTGACATTCAGCCCAGGGGCACAGGGTGTGTGCAGGCCACCTGTGCCCCGCCCTTTGTCCTCCAGCACTGGACCAGGATCTCTGGAGCCCTGCCAGTCCCAGCATCCTGTGAGTTCATGGTTGGGCTCCATGGATTTAAACAAAGGGATTCCTGGCATCCTGACAGGCTATGTGCTGAGGCTTCAGCAGGGCAGGTTCAGGCTGGGAGATCAATGCACAGCGCTTTCACAGTCACACCCTGCTCAGCTTTCCAGATCCTTCTTGGAGGCTCAACACTGGCTTCTCCTTGAGGCCTGAACACATCTGGGTTGGGCAGTGCGCGCGCACGCATACACACACACACAGGACAGAGGCCTTGGGGGAAGAGCGAAGGAGTCCCTGAGAGGAAAAAGGCAAACACCGGCAGGTTAGAATCAAGATTCTGGAGCCCCAGGCTGGCCGCTGCCCCCCAAGGCCTCCCTCCCCCAGGACTGGAATCCAGCCTTGGCCATGGGCTCTTCCCCACCCCTCAGTCCTACCAGGCTCACCTTTTCTGAGCTGCTCCAAAGAGCGAGGCGAACCACCACCTCTTTTAGCCTCCCTCCTTCCTTTGATCGTGTAACAGGAACAAGGGAAAAGTAAAAATACCCCATGAGTGAAAGGAGCCACTGAGAGCAGAGGCCGGGGGTGGGGTAGGGTGGGAACCGGCCGAGGCTTCCCTCCTCCACAGGGCCTGCCTCCCTCTGCAGAGGAAGGGGGGAGCTGGGGGGAACTTGGAGGGAGGTCCTCCTTTGAAGTCCTTTCCCCAAACCTCAGACGGCTCCCCCAGTTCCAAAATAGCTAGGAAAGCTCAAACCCAGGACAGCTAAGGACACCCCTCCCCAGGTGAAATTGCCAGGATGGCTGCAGGTCCAACCAGTGTGCCCAGCCCACTCCCAGGGGGCCTCTTACCCCTTATTTTTCTCTCTTCCTTCTCCACCACCCTCTCCCTGTCTATCTCCTCCTCTTCTCTGGCCCCCGATAGTTCCCTTGGCTCCAGGGGGGACAGAGCCAGGCATGGAGGGATGAGGATCCTGAAGAAGCAGGGGTAAGAGGCAGAGGGGAGAGGCTCCATCATCTCTGCACGGCAGCAGCCCACAGGCCAGCAGCGATTTCCAGAACACTGTATCCAGTGATGGGGATGTGAGGGGAGCTGGGGGCCCCCACCCACCCCAGCAGGGGCCTCTCTGATATCTAAGGGCCTGTGAGGGGGCACTCCGGGAACCTGCCTCGTGACCACTTCTAAGCCCTAGCAAGCTGAACCTTCCTGCTTCTCTAACTTTACTCCTTCCACAACCAAGGCCAGAGCCAGAAGGAACCACAAACCACAAAACACCCAGCTCTGAAGAGAACTACTGTGACTTACTAAACCCCCAATTCGTTTTCACTGAGCTTTTTCTTATTCTTCCAAAACTAAGAAAGTTGAACAAAACCCAAACCCCAGAATAAAAATCAAACAGATAGAGGGAACAGTCTTGCATTTTGTTACCAAGGGTCAGACCACAGCCAGAGCCACTGGCCCCTCTGTTAGCCCTTGGAGGGTCAGTCCCCACAGAAGAGAGGCTTGGGGCTCTCAGGCCCCCACCCCTCCATAGGCCAGCCCCTTGGGGTTCAGGGGGAGAGTCAGGTCACGAGCCCCTTCGCCTTCCTCTTAGCTCCCAATCCCAAGTTCCTGCCACCCTTCCTTTCTCTATTCACCTTTGCCTCCACTGGGCCCGGCCCAGCCCAGCTCAGGGACGCTCAGGAAGCTGAGGAGAGTATGTTTTGAATTTCCTGGGCTGTCTAGATGGCCTCATCGCCCACACTGTGCATCTCCCTGCAAGGGGGACAGCAGCGCCACTCATCCAGAGAAGAAACAAAGGAGGGCTGCAGGCCTCTCCCCTTCCTTCATCTCCAGGGCCCCTCTGCCATCCCACAGGGCCTGCACTGGCTTGTGGAACAGTATCCTCCCAAGTGGACAGAGCCTAGACCTAGGAAGCAGGTCCTCGGAGCCCGCCCCCACAGCTGCCCCAGCACAAAAGCCCACCTGCTTGACTCCCGGCCCACAGAGAAAGAGGTTGACCAGTCAGCTCCTTCAAGTCCTAGCAGCACACCATCTCCCACATGACCAGGACGGCCTGAGGGGATTGTGCCCTGTGCCTGTGGACCTCTGCGACCCAGCCCAGCACAGAGCCTGGTATCTCCATCAGAGTTTCTGGGAACAAATGAGGGACATGCCATGAGCTGGTGGTTCCAGGTCTCCCATTCAAGTAATCTATTTCTGTATTGCCAGGACCTTTCTGTAGACGATGATTTAACCCGAGGGATTCTAACGGTGGAACTGGGGGCAAAGCTGCAGGCAGGTGAACTAAGGACTGGCTGAGCTATGAGGAGGCATCTTGGCGCCTTCCACCAGCTGGGCTGGCCAGGGCTTATTCCGTCCAAAGGGCAGCCCTGCTCCCAGACGCTCAGCCGGCATGACCATGGCCACATTCTAAGAGCTAGGAATAGGGCACAGTGGGGGTCTGGTACCCATCCTGTCTCTTCGCTTCCCCCTGAGCTGCTCCAGCTCACCAGCCAGGACCAGGAAGCCTGCTGGTCAGACTCCAGACCCCACTCCACAGGCCATCCCCTCCCCGTACTGCCAAAAACAAGGGCCTGATTCAGAGGTGACTGGCTCTGGGCTGAGCACGTGACTGAATGCACTGAAGAAACATGTGTGGAAGGCAAAAGGGAGGGAGGGAGGAAAGGGGGATGGGA